ACACTTGTTAAAACATTCACTTTTTACTTTCACCTGCTTGACTATGTTTAACTGTAGAGAGTTTTTGAATTTCACTCAAGTATATTTTTGGCTACATCCACTTTTAATTAAGATTTTGACTCAGTAAGTACCGTTCCTCTGTACATTTTTCCATCCCTCGCTATTGTTTCCTGGTTGTCTTACCTTAAACAATCATATAAACCGACATATAAATTATCAAGTCATCAAACCCATGAACATCTTGGTTTCACTACGAAAGGTAAGTTCTGAGGAAGTGTCAGTTGTGACCACTAAATCATGAGATGATGTGAGACCCCTGATGCATAATGAGACAAAGTTGATGCAACAAATGAACTATGTAGTTGCCACATCTTGATATGCTAAAAAATACAAACAGCAAGGTAGCAATTATCAGTAATACTTTGCTGTTGTTACTGGCTGGGCCAGGCTTGTCGGGCAGCTGTGTCATTGTGTGCGCTGCTGTGGTTACTTCTACTAGTGTTGAAGCGTGATGCATTGCACACTGCTCGGAGTTGTATAATTTCTTGCCCTTGTAAATGAAAGAGGAACAATCGGGGGTCATTTTGGGGTCTTTTATTATTCCTCCTCAAAGATTAAAGGAACAGTTATGCACAGAAATGAATGAGGTGTTCTATGAGGCACTGACTGCCGTCTGTAATGTCGTGGGCCGTGACCCTTATTGACCATGGGCCAGTAGGTCAATATGAGATGCTACGTGTGATGTTGGCTACAACTAGTTTATAAAACTTGTGAATTACTCATTAGTCTACACATATACACCACACATTTCCTTCATGTACTCAAACACTGGCAAGTTTTTAGTTTGTTATGATTTTATTTCCACATCTCCAATGTCTTTTTTGGAATATCAAAGAGATGCCAAACTGTTGCTTACTGTGAATCTGGTTGCATAGCATTGGCGATTTTAATGCTTTATTTTCCCCAGAAAGTACTTCTTTTAAAAAGACCTTCAAGGGATCTTTAGTAAAGGCAATGGCTATATATAGAACCAAGACAACTCATAGAACCACTAAAAGGCATAAATGGTTAATGGCACGGGCAAACTGTTCTTATCTATGACAGAAAGCACAGTTTACTTAGTGGTCCTAAAGAACCTTTATAATAATGTTTCTATGTAGCACTGATGACTTGTAACCCTGCAGAAATAAATGTTATATTTCTCTGTAATCCTAATCCAGGTAGATCTACATTTTATAACTATAAAAAATGTTTATACATAAAAGTATTGGTAGATGGTAAACGGCATCCGGAGATGAGTTCATGAAAAGTATCGGATCTTGGCATCGGCTCAGATTTCCCATATTGCTGGACCCTTGCAAATTTTTCTGGAATAGTATTTTGGGAAACTCTTTCCAATTGCAGTATGCAATTTCAGACACAGTGACAGACATCAGGATGGCTATTCTGCTGTCTCTATACTAGCCTGTTTATTGTGCAGTTGAAATTGCACCAGTCAAGTGAAGGACTAGGTCTATAATACAAACAATTATTTCTCCTTGATCTGCTGATTTAATGAGGGAAAGAAAAAATTATATATTTGTTCCTACAATGACATTAATTGCTTGCATTATGGAAGTGCTTGTGTGATTAAACATACTGTCAATCCATAGATTCATTTAAGAAAATGAAAACTATGAAAGAAATTTCTCAAAGCAGCTGTTATTTTTCTCAGTACTGTATCATTAACTTCTCAGCATGTGGTCAAAGCAGTGTTTACTACTGTAGATTATTCTTTCAGCTGAGATGCAGATTTAATTCTTAGCTTTGCCATACATCATCCATGGCAAAATGTCCTGAAGACATAAATGCCTGCATCATCACTAAGAAGCCATTTGGACATCTATACAGTTGTTTGGCAGAGTCTATAACTTAAAGGGGAATTCTCCTGCCAAATTTCTGTATAGTAGAGAAACTTAACAGCTTGGATTTCTATACAGTGGTGACGAAAGGAACCTTCTAGTCACGTGAGTATTTAGAGTATTTTTAAAAATAATTCTGGCCAAAATAAACTACTTGAAATTTGAGATTTATGCACTGAAATGTTTAAAGGCCAGAGATTTACATCCCTTTGGCAATGATACTGATGTCAATTCATTACCATTACCTTAAATTTCACCAGTTTTCGAATTTCAGCATTTCTGTGTATTTGTATAGCCTGAACAGTTCCTTCTCCTGTAAAGTTACTTTTTGGAGATATGATGTTTTGTTCCGACAGCAACAATATGTTAAATGAAAACTCAGAAGACGCTCAGATGGTTCACTGGTCATTTTGAATAGTAAATAAAATGGCTATATCTGTGTTGTAAATACTGTGACTCCTGGTTCCTACCACCACCACTGTAAAAAAAAATCTGAGCTGGCACATCAAAACACTGAATGACTTTGTTTAAATGTCAATGATAAAAAAGAAAAATCTGTGAAATTGCCACAGATTCACGTTTAAATTGTGAAATACATGCACAGATGCACAGCCTAGTCAGGAGTGGTCAGTCTATAAAGTCATAAGGTCACTAGTCTGTGTGTGTGCATTCTGAATGAAGCAGGTGAAAGTGAATCAATATCACCTGCTGACAGAAAGGACGGCTGTGCCATTTAGAGAGTGAGACGGGGATTAATGTTACAGTCTTACGAGTGCATTGGCTGCTGTAACCTTTAGCCACGATGAAACCCAGTTCATATCTCTGTGTGCAAACATATACGACTCAGCAAATCCTGACATGCCTTCTGCCAATATACCTGAAGAAACTGAGAGTATAAAGTACCCAGCAACATTCTGGATTTTATTAAAACTATTATGCATGCCCCCTCAGACAATTTCTGGACTTTTTGAGAAAAATATCTAACAAAGACGAACCTGATCAATGCAAATGCTACACAAATACAAAATATCATTTTTAGCACAGTTTGGATTCAAATATAGTAACTGAGGAGGTCATGACATCTCAACAGTAGGTATAAACAACAGGGAAAGCCCAAACTAAAGTTCACAAGTAATTAGTAAATGTTCAAGCATAATCATTTAGCATCAGGTAATTCTGGTAACATAGCATTTGGTACAGAATAAAGTAGCTGCTCTTACAACTTATTTTTATACAGCCTTTAACTCATTAGCATTCACTCAGATACCGAAGATAAGAAACAATCCCAGACCAGCATTTTTAATTTAGATCTTCCTAAATTTCCTAAATTGAACATCTGAATAAACATATTTGTGCCTGAGTGACCACTGTGTGATGTGAACACCTCACAAATCCCACATGCTATGAACAGGTTGGGTTCCAAACATTATGACTGCATAAATAAAGTGAATGTAGTCCATCTAGTCTAATATACTGTCCAGGTAAATTTTAGTCCCCCAATGTAAACGTACCCTCAAAGACATAATATGGTCCTTGAGGTCCAACTGTGTACCACAAATGAATTTTAAATGCGCACTACATCCTCTTTACCAGGGCAAAGGTAAATATTTGTATCTTTTAATAACTTAAGTTTTAAGCAAAAAAATAAAATAAAAAAAAAGCCTGGAGCCAAGACGTGGTGTATGGAGTGAATGAAACTTGAAAGCATAACTGCAACAAAATATGGTACAGTTATGTTCCCTTACTAATGATACAGAAGACGTATCCTTAAGGGGACCACCACAGTGACAGTCTTCGTACCTCAAAAGGCAGCTTTTGTATGTCACTTTAAAGCACTTTAAAAACAAATGTAAAATTTTTGCTTCTTCCCAAAGTTGGAGTTGTTCACCCAAGACATTGGGTGCTTTTTTAATTCTGCTTTGGAGCTACTAGGCTAATGTAGCTAACAAGTAATGGAAACTTATAGCTACCAAGTTAGAACTGGCCAAACTGAGTTGTTAAAGCTGCACTACGTAAGTTCTGGGGATCTGGTGGAAATGTGGAATTGCATGCAACATGCAGAATAAGATCTTGTAATGTTGGTTGTGCTTCAGAGCTTTTCCCCAAGTGGATGAATCTGTTGATTGCAAGGGTGTTAAAAGAGTATTGTTAGTCTGTGTTCAGACTGCAGGCAAATTGGATTTGTTTCTCAAATCAGATCTTTTGAGACAACTGTTCGCACAGTTATTTGCAAAGTGATCCAATCAGATTTGTGTGTCCAGACATCACTAACCTATCGGCATGCATTGCTATGTAACGACATAACGATCTAAGCGTGAATTTTTGGCGCTCTACTTAAATCCCAGCATTTTCGTTGCTCTGGATTTGACACTGTCACTGGTTGTCGTATTGCGAATGACGCAATAAGCACTTTGAAATCCGATCTGAACTGCCAGAGCATCCAGACTAAGACACATCTGTAAAAAACTGATTGGATTTGCATTTCAAACCACCTCCAAATCGGATTTCATGTGGTTTTTCAAAGAAACAATCTGGATATGCAAAAAACTGGTTTTCAGTCTGAACAAGGCCAAAGAGATGTAAGTGAATTATCTACTATTCTCGTCATATCTTCATCAGTATAAAGTTTGTTTTACAGCTGAGACCTAAACATTAAGCCAGACCTTCTTTTTCAGCCTGTGTGTGTGTGTTAATACATAAAGACTTGGTACAAAAATTCTTGTGAAATCTGTCTTTACAGGGTGACTTGCAGATGCGCACAGGAACTATATCTTAGTGTGTTTTTTTCTCCTGACTCAGTACATGTTCAACACTTCTTTCAATTTTAACACAACAAAACCTTACATAGCGCAGCTTTAAGCAATCTGGCGGAAATTGTGTACATTAGTAAAGTAAAACGTTTTAAATTAGAGATCAGCATATTTTTGTGCAAGTATTTTTGTAATACTAACATTATTTTTAATCCAGTAATCATAGGAGGTAAAAAGGGTCCTGTCCTGAAGTAGAGCTTTAGTGAGACCAGAAGCTTTCTTTCTGAGCCTGACTTGACCCACATCATCACGTTTTGAGTCTGAAACTGAATGAAGTCCGATTAAGAAAACATAATATTAAATCCAGGAATGGCATCAAAAAAAAAGTAAAACTAAAAGGAAAGCCTGAACGTCAACATTTCCCATGTTTCATACGGAGGTGTTTTAACAGTGCTGAAGTTGTGTACTCTTTAACACCACGTGATATCACTGCCTTGCACATTAGACACACTGCTTTACTGCAGTCTCCCTCTTTCAGAGAGAAATACTTCCACACAGGACTAGATTTTGCTATGGTCCTCTTCTGCATTTCACAGTGTCTGCTGGTACAGTGCAGTGTGTTGTGGCAGGTAATTCGGTTTGAGTAACTGAACGCTGCTCGAAACTCTATGGGCCTGTTTTGGAAGGCAGATTCTGCAGAGTGAGCACTTTCAATGGTGCATGGCTGCATGGATGCTTGCTGTACTCTAGCCCGGTCACTTTTTTCTGAAAGGACATCCCAGTTGTGCGGAGACCAGCTCTGCGTGTTTGCATCTGCACTGTCCGTCGTGTCCGCTGAATGCGTGTTCCCTGACTCTACTTTGATCTTTGCAGGGAATTCGTAGTCTATCATCTCTTGGTCAACAGCCTGTGAGTTTAGGAGAGAGGGACACTGGACAGGCTCCACAGTGTAGTCTGGCTGAGTTGCATATGTCTGCCTGGTCTCTGGTTCAAAGCCAGCATCTGTAGGGTAAGAGGGCTGCTCTGTTTTTATGCCTGAGTTTTCTCCCTTCAGGCCCCAGTGTCCATTCTGGCTCTCCTGGGGCTCAGATTCCTCTGATTCCTGCTCCACGTTTGTGTTACAGTCTTCTTGTCCATGAGGAATGGGAGGGACCACAGCGGAGTTGACCACTCCTAACAGGGGTGAAATAAGTTAGCCTGCATGTTTGGGTAAGCAGCTCACCTCGTCATCTTAACGTCAGGAAATGACAAAACAATTTAGTCATCTTACAATGACGGTAATCATCGCAAAAAACAAAAACAGCTCATAAATAGGCTTAACCGTGACTGTTTGTGCTATTTTTCCCCATTCAGCTGTTTTCAAATACTGTTTACATACAGACTTAGCTTTGGTAGATGCTCGTCAGCCATTATGTTCTTAAAGAGAAGTTTTTTACATTAAGCCTCTAAAATCACACATCTTACCAGGATTTGCTTCTGGAGCGCTGCAGGCTGTAACCTTTAACATTTCCTTTAGATGCTCGTTTTCTTTACGTATCCGTGCGGTTTCCTCCTCGTACTCCTTCATCGTCATGCTTACCGTGTATATTATCTCATTTAGCGCCGCCGTTAGTCGCTCGGACAGGAATGAATTTAATCGGTCCAGTCTGGTCATTTTACCGCTCCTCTAAACTCTTAACTGATATTCCTGAACAGGCCTGTTCACACAGTCTGACACTCGCTTACTGCTACACTGACAATGTTTAGCTCCACAACACTGATAAAGACAAACTGAATGAACAGAAGGTTATACTGCCACCTGCTGGACAGGAGAAACACTCAAACAGCGGTACTGCACAGCACGCTGTGGGCCAAAAAGACAAAACCACACAAATAAAGAAGATAAGTAGGGTTCAAATTGCGATTTTAAAATGCATTTGATAACATTACACTACATATTGCTACTAAAAAACTTAAAAAATACAATTTGAAAACGAAAAGAAGTATAAGTTTAATAAGCATATACATATATATATATATATATAATTATATTCTCATTGGGGGTGGGGTTAGGGTAATTTTCTGGCAGGCTAAATCAAACATTTTTGGCCTGTCATATAAAAAGAATAATTATGGCTGTAATAGAATCTGAATTAGGATGGTACAATTGGGGTAAATGGCCTCCTCCCAAAAAGCTAAGTTTTGCAGACTTTCAACAAGTGCTGAAAGGAAATTTACAATAGTTTTAAATAAATTTTAAAATAAAATAGATATTTTACCCCAGTGGCATATGTCTTAAAAGGAAGGTTAAAGTGATAGCTTTTGTCATGCTATCTAGGTAATTTCTCAAGTTCCACTTTTAAAATATATATAGTTGTGTAGGTTATTCAACTTATAAGTGAAAGTGAAATAAGTGAAAGTTATAAGTGAAACAGCACATTCCTCATGGTTATTACTTTGGGATCAATTCTAAAGTTTGTCTGAAATTACAAGAAATGCTGAAAGTGTGAATGAAAGGACAAAGCGGCCCTATACAAGCACTTCTACTTTGGGGTTTTGTATGCATTAAACCAGATGTTGAAATTAGAATTGTCTAATTATATCTGCGGTTGAGTGACAACTGTGAAAGAAATCCTGCAATTTTCAGTGTCTGGTTTGAGGATGGACAAGCTGAAGTACTACATATTAGGCTTCAAACACCATCAACACAGCAAGAAGGGAATGTGACACAAAAGGCCCATGTGGTCCATAGAGTCCAACACAGTTGCTTTGAAGTGATGGTTTGGCTTTTTTTTTTTATTAGTGTGCAAGTTTTGTGTTCACGTACCTTTGGTCATGAGAGAATAAAACATTTTAACTGCTCTTCAAGTAATGGTTCGCTTTAAGAATGAAATTTACACAATTTTCCTCTCAAGCCAAGACGTGTTTGGTGTATGCTTCTTCAGATTTGCCCTGAAGGTACTAATATAGCTAACAAGTAATGGGAGCTCACAGGCACTAGGTTAACAGTGTGTACTGCAACTGAACTGCAGTTGAATCATAGCAAACTAAAAGGAAAGCACGAAAATTAGCATTTGCCATGTTTCCCACGGAGATGTCGTAACAACGCAGACGTTGTGTATTCTTTAATCCCACGAGATATCACTGCCTTACATATGAGACACACCGCCTTACTGCAGTCTCCCTCTTTCAGGGAGAAATACCTCCACACAGGACTCGATTTAGGTATGGTCTTGTGCATTTCACACTGCCTGCTCGTACAATGCTGTTTGTTATTGCATGAGATCTGATTTGAGATGCTGAACACAGGTCGAAATTCCATGGGCCTGTTTTGCGAGACAGATTCTTTAAAGCGAGCTCCTTTAACTGCGCATGGCCACCGACTGGATGCTTGGTGCACACTACTCTGGTCACTTTTTTCTGAAATCCTATCCCACTGTTCAGTACTGTCCGTACTGTCTGTACTGTCCGTGCTGTCCATATCATCTGTGGTTTCTGAATAGGAGTCTGTGTCCGCTGACTCTACTTTGATCTCTGTCAACTCATAGTGTATCATGTCTTGGTCAACAGCCTGTGCGTTTAAGGGCGAGGTGCACTGGAGAGGCTCCACAGTGCAGTCTGGCTGTGTTGCATATGTCTCAGAATCAGCATCTGTAGGGTAAGAGGGCTGCTCTGTTTTTATGCAGGAGTTTTCTTCCTTCAGTTGCTGGTGTTCATTCTGGCTCTCCTGGGGCTCTGATTTCTGCCCCAAGCTTGAGTTGCAGTCTTCTTGTCCACTTGGCAAAGAGAAGACCACCACATCTAACAAGAAGGAAATAGGTTAGGTTGCATGTTTGAGAAAGCAATTGACCTTGTCACCTTAAGGTCAGCAAACGAACCAATAAGCTAAACCACTTATAATGATGATAATGACTGCAAAAGATAAAAAAAAACAGCTCAATACAACTTTGTTGCACCATTTGTCCCCCACATAGCCAGATGTTCCGCCAGCTATTAGGTTCTTAAAGAGGAGAAGAATATTGAATTGACTTCCTGATATCAGACATCTTACCAAGATTTGCTTTTGTAACACTGTATCCTGTAACTTTTAACATTTCCTTTAGATGATTGTTTTTTGTCTCTGGTTCAAAGCCAGCATCTGTAGGGTAAGAGGGCTGCTCTGTGTTTATGTCTGAGTTTTCTCCCTTCAGTCCCCAGTGTCCATTCTGGCTCCCCTGGGGCTCTGATTCCTCTGATTTGTCCCCATTCAGCTGTTTTCAAGTACTGTTTACTTATAGAGGTAACTATGTTAGATGCTTGTCAATACGAAAGTCGAGAGAGGCTATGAGGTAGTTATACTTTTTCTGGACTGTTATCAGAAGATCATGACTTATTTGTCTTGTGATCTCAAGTTAACAAATCTTGTTTCTTAAGACCACAACTTATTTATCTCGTGAACTCAAGATAACAACTCTTGTTTTCTCACCATCACAACTTATTTATCTTGTGATATGAAAATAACAAAAGTTTGAGACAATTTGATAATCTTGAGATCACAGGAAAGTTGTGATATCAAAAAAACAACTTTGGTTATCTTCAGATCACAACATAATTAAGTTGTGATCCCAAGATATCAGCCCAGAAAATGATTATTATCATTTATTATGATTTATTGATTTATTATCAGTTATTATGATTTTAATGAGGAGAAGTTTATTACATTAAGCCTCTAAAATCACACATCTTACCAGGATGGGCTTCTGGAGCGCTGCAGGCTGTAACCTTTAACATTTCCTTTAGATGCTCGTTTTCTTTACGTATCCGTGCCGTTTCCTCCTCGTACTCCTTCATCGTCATGCTTACCGTGTATATTATCTCATTTAGCGCCGCCGTTAGTCGCTCGGACAGGAATGAATTTAATCGGTCCAGTCTGGTCATTTTACCGCTCCTCTAAACTCAGCTGAACTTAAACAGGCTGTTTGTGTTTGGCTCCACTCGTGTTGAGGAAAACAAACTGAATTAACTCACAGTGCTGCACTGCCCCCTTCTGGACAGGAGAAATAGCGTCAACAGTCAGCTTTCATCCAGCTGAGCTGCTCAGTTAAATTCGAGCGAATAACTGAATTGTAATTAAAATGATTGGAAATATGCGAATTAAGCTGACTTTCTGCCAAGTCTGTACAAGAGAAACAAGAGAACGCCATGTTCGTACAACACTTCTGAGAAATATGGACAGAGAAATCTTGTTGAGGCATTTTATGAGTGTATTTTACATCGTAAGACAGCACTGGAGACTGAAGTGTCTCAGGAAATGTTCAGTAATGGGCAGCAGGCACCTTTTGTCTGTTTACTGTAATATCAACGTTATTTCGTTTTAGTTTTTTCATTAGTCAACAAAACTGCAGCTTTCTGTCATGTTTACAGCCGGTGTTCTAATGTGTCCCATTGAGTGGTCTGACTGCGCATGCCCAGTTTAGTAGTTACTCAGTCCTTCTAATGTTTATTGCGTTTCATGTTATTATGTTAGGTTTTTCAAAAAGAATTTACACATAATAAAATAGTAAAGATTTAAATAAGATTTAAAGGCATTCAGAATGGTTTAATGAGAAATGCTCCGTTCTGTATTACAGCACAATTCTAAATTGGTGGAATTTCCCTTTAATTCAGCCCACTTTAAGTGTATTACAGACAGCTTAATGTTATTATAAGGTGTTATAAGGTGATTTAGGCTCATACCTATAGTTTGCATTTTTATTTGTTTCTTTTTTATTTGCCATTTCAATATGTTTTTTCATTTAAATTTCCAACATTAATATGAAATTTGTGGATGGAAATCTAGCTAATGCCAAAAGCTAAATTCTGACCTCTTAGAATTTAATTTTTATATGTTCATTTTTTTTAGTATTAACACTTTTACAAAGAACTACTCTGAAACAGCCAGAAAAAAATGCTGCCTGGAAAAACTGTAACTTCTAAATGCATTTTTCATGATTTATGAAGATTTAAGGATTGACTCTGGTGCTTCTCCAAGGCTCCACCACAGAGTTTCACAACAGTAGCTAACCATTAAGCTCTGAAGGTGTGTGAACTATAAGACTAAATAAAATGCACAGGCTATTCAGAGATGAAGTCAGCATCAGTAACTCAAAGCAATAGTCCTGACAGAGAAGACCCCAAACATCACTAAGACCATAATGAAATACAACTGATGTACCTGTCTCATCAACGATCAGACGCAGGGTCTGCAGCTGTCATTCCAGGCCCTTGTTCTCCATTTTTGCCTGAGGAGTCTCTTTCTGGTATTCACACACAGGATATTTTTATTACTCAGATAAAACCTCCATACTTTTAATTCACATTTTACATTGACAGTTTTGTGACAAATACAATGTAAAATCATTTTGTTATGTAGAGGCAAGAATTAATAATTTAAGGATAGATTATAGATTGTAATTTAGCTCAGTTTTGGGATGGCTAGAAGGAATGGGACAGCAAATTGCAGCTAACTGCTAATACTACCACCTCCTGAACTGTGTTCAAGCTCCAGCTGAAGAGGGACTTTGCAACAGCACTCAGCACCAGCGCCTATAATATTAATGTAAACCACAACTATAATTAAAATGCAGCTGTATTATTTATACCCACATGTACATTACTGAGCAAAAGTTAGAGACCACCCTCCACTTGATTTCCAGTCAATTAAAATTCCAACTACATCTCATTTATTTTTCAGTATCAGGAACGAAGCAGAAAACAACAAGAAAGTAGAGTATCTTTTTTTCCAGCATGTAATGTGCCCACATATTACCTTTATTATAGTTACTGTTCTTTTCAGGAGACTTACTTTCAGCTTTTCAAAGAAATCTTCAGGGGGAGTTTTGCACAGCTCCAAAGTTCAGTCTTAGAAGTTGGTCACATTTTCTACTTCTGATGATACACGTAATCCCAAACATCCAATGATGTTGAGGTCTGGACTGGTTGGTCAGTTCATTGTTCTAAGAACACCAACAGCTTCTTTATATGAATTGCAAATTTTCTTCCTTTTTTATAGTAAGGGCTTCTTGACAGCTACACATCCTTTCAGACCCACAGTGTTGTCTTATCACAGTGGAAGGATGGACAGAAACACCTGTGGATTTTTTCAGATCTTTAGTTACTCTCTTCAAAATACTGGTTTAAGCAAGTTAAGAAATCAGAACAAAAAAATCCCAAAAAAACCTACAAACAGAACAAACCAGGATTTTTTCTGAACTGATTAAAAAGAACAATTGAACTAAGAGACTGCTGCAAACGTTTTTTAACACTGTTCATTGTTGGGGCAACAGTTCAGAAACATGTCAGTTAACCATTCCCAGTGGAACATCCTCAAGTTTCTAAAACAGAAGAAGCCAGAAGCCATCTTACATCATGACACTGAACACACATTTCTGTATATATGGGTAAATACAAAAGCAGCTAGGCCAGTAATAAAGCAGTGATTTGACTTCTCTATAGGGTTCACCTCTCAATATGTAATCCAAGCCCAACAGTTCTACATTCTTTGTAGAACAACAGTTGCATTATGATAGTGTTGAATGGACAACTATCTTACTACCTGCATAACCAATACCCAAACAGGAATACCTCACTTGGTGAAGATGGAGATACTGTCCTGTTCTTACGGTTTCCATGAGGTTTACCCTCTTTGGATTGCTCAGGCACATTTTATAGTGCCTATATACTGTTCTCCTTTCAAAAAATCCTGAAGATGACACATGGTTTATATTCTTTGAACCTTGCACTTTTAGATACATTGTTTAGTTTGATGCACCCCGACTGCTTTTTCTATGCTTCAAAGATATAGGTAAAGTTTTCTCTGTTTCTCAAGAGACTACTAGAACTAGCTACTAGAACTCAAGGCCTGCATCTTATCAGGTTGATTACTATGAATGTGTTTGAGATACTGTGCTATACTGCTTTGTTGTGCCCCATAATAAACACAATAGCATTAGCCCTATTTGAACTAGTGATACCTGAGGAGGTCCAGTTATGTAATCTGTGTGTGTTTGGCTGATTCATATGGAATAAAAGGATCTATTTCATTTCCCCAGGTAGCCCAGATCAAAACATTATTGTGTAGACTTTCACATTAGTAATATGTGATAGGCACCACAGGTCTGAACAATGGTGCTTGTTTTAGTATTGGGTCAAACTGAACTACATTTTAGCAGTTAGCTGTGTCTTCAGGTCATAAAAAAGAAAAACTGAGGTGCTGCTTTATATTACCTGATTTTGTTATTACATTACTGTGATATCAGCTCAAAGAGGACTACTATTACTGAGTGAGCTCTGTGTTCTGCAAATTTTAGAAGGAAATTCTCCAGATTCTCTACAATTATTGTTTAGCACACTTGTAAAAACTATAAATAATAATAATAATAATAAGATTAATAATAATAATAATAAGAAGAAGAAGAAGAAGAAGAATGATGATGATCACACCAACATAAGTGCAGCAAGAATATAGAAGTATATACAAGAAACATAAACCATTAAAAACAACAATTAAAAATAAGAGAAATCAGAGAAATGATAATAAGCAATGGCAACATCAATAAAAAATAATAAAATGCTTTACAAATATAAAAACAGCATTAAAGATACTTTTTAATTACAATACATTTAAAACTAGATGCTTCAAAATAAATAAATAAATAAATTTGATTAAAATCCCAGATCTTCTTGCCATTTATTCAAACTGCAGTGCATCTTCAGGTAAAACTAAGCAAAGAAATCTTTTTTCACCCCAGGCAGTTCTGAGCATATGGAGGCATTTTTAAAGGGGAGAGAAACAGTGTTCTTTTACCTCTGGATTTTGAGGTGGCGTTTTCTTCTGTGGGAATGGAGGGCTCCAGAGAAGCCGCAGTGCTCTCAGAAAATGTCTATAGAAAGACAGGATTCACAAAAAAGAAAAATCCACAGGGGCATTTTTTTCAGCTGAGTTGAGAGAGTGCTTTCACATTACATTCTCAATGAGAACTGTAGTGACATCTTTACAACACCTGTTCAGAGAGCTCACTCTGTGCTGGCTTCTCTCCACTGTCAGATCGTGTCTTGCGTTTTTTAGCTAGATCCTGGTGAAAGCTTGCCTGTGTTTCTCCTGGAGATGAAGTGACACAGGCTTCAAATATGCTTAATGTATATTTCAAATGAAATATATCTAGGAAAAATTCACATGTAAAACACTGTACAGAACCACTCTATAAGGCCATCGCCTGAACATTTAGGCTGCACCAGAGTGTGGGATTTGCAGATACTGTATCTTTTTCATTTGGTTCATCTGGTTTCACAAATAAATAATACACCAAATAATACACATGGGTGCTGTTCAAGTGGTCAGGGATTAACATGGAGATATAATTGCTCTTTTACCCTCACATTTGTCTCCTTTACTCCCAAAAGATTATCTATTTAAGCACGGTATAAAAATCCAGATGTCTTCTTCAAATACATTCTTGATAAAATGTATAATCCTACCCACTGCTACCTAAAAATGAAGACTTTTAAAGTCAAAGTGTACCACAGAGTTTTTAACAGACAACCCCATTTTCAAAAAAGTTTGAACAAAATCTAAAAAAAACAGAATGCAATGACAAGCTTTCAACACTTAATATGTTGTTACTGTACTATTTTCAATAAAGGGTTTAAACGATTTCCACATTATTCTTTTTTAGGTACATTTTGCACAGTGTCCCAATTTTTTTAGCTCTGGCTGGATGTTCATGCTTGCAGCTTTGTGCATAATTAGCAACAGACTTTGTGCTAAATAACCCATGACAGTAAACGTAATGCACAACAGGGCTGTAAACTGCCAACAGGGCTGTAAACTGCACTTTACTAGTATTTCTTTACAACTGACTAATTTAAATGCGTGCCAGTTTTAATTTAACCAATCAAGTCACTGATGCCTGGCCCAAATTAGCAAAAATATTCATTGGTGAACCACAGTTCATTGGCTTGGTCTGCAACCAAGTTCAGGTGGAGAGTTTGCAACTGTCAAAATAGACTGAACTAAAGAAAAAGTCTGATTGGTCCGCTTGAAGAAAGGTGTGAAAGCGGCCTAAATTCATTCTAACTTGTACTCACCATGGTGGGTCACTCTGTGGTTTCGAAAACGATATTTCTGAATGAAGCCCAAATTACACTGGCTGCACCAGTAAGGCCTTTCACCTACAAAAGATCAAAGCCTGGCTCTAAGTATAAATGGACAATATCATCTGCTTGTAGTTGTGGAAATATTAGAACAGGCTCATTTGAGAAAGGAAGCTTGCTTGTGTGCATGCGTTTATGACTGCTGACCTGTGTGAGTGTACACATGTCTGCGTAGGTGGTAAGGGCTGCAGAAGGTGGCGCTGCAGTGCTGACAGGTGTGCACTTTTGTGCTCTGCAACACACTTTCCTCTTCATAACGGTCATCATCCATTTTCACTGGCTTTATAAGGGAACAAATACAAATTACAGGAAAACGCAAAGGCAGCCCCCATCTGTATATAGAAAGCCCACATCAAATGGTTATCAGCATAAAACTGGCAATTGTTCTACACTGTGTGCACTCAAGCGCCAAAACTGTTTAAACATTGGCCCCATTTTTGGTCGATCCAGAGCTTATATTTCGGCAATGCCATGGCCAGGAGTCAAGAGAGCATAGTTGGCCTTGGTCTTTTTGAGGGTAGGACGGCCCTACCCCTCCCCCATCAATCAGTGTGATACTAACTGAGTATCTGTTTGCTGACATCACAGAATTGGCAGTTAGCATTCTCCTCCAAACACATTCGGCTGTCCAGTGATGCTGTTTTAACAGCAGTTTGAAAAGATGTAGCTGCTGCATGTCTCAGTGGAAGCACATGCTAGCCTTCACCACCGCAGCATTATATGATTACTGCATTAGGCAATGTTTAAAAAAGCAATAGTTTAAAATCAGGTTCATGCTGTTCACCAAGATAACAAACACACACAGAGAAAGCTTATTTAGGTATTTGAATATTTATTTCTGTACAATACATGAACAAAAATAAATGCCTCCTCTTCCTTACGGAGCTGAATATATAATTTCTTCAAAACAGCAATACCTTGAAAGAAACAGCTTAATGCATTTTATAACAACTTAACGTCACTCCCATCTCTTTTGCTCTTCTTTCCTACCTGTACAAAATTCCAAATATGACTGGATTCCAATGGTTAATCATTTCTTATTAAGAAATAAACTAGAAATATTTTACCTGAGTTTGAACATATGAGCCCCTTCTCTTATCTACAGTGTATCCTGTCTCACTGCTTGGCTTAGTCTTGGTCATTTTGTCTTCACTATTGCTATATTCAGAGTGACTGTTGCCTGGGGAGCTGCAGGGTGTTCCACAGGCCATGTGGTCACTTCCTATTTCACTACTGACAAGACTGTTGTCTGGAGTGAAATCTTCAGCTCTTAAACCCAAGTGGTCAGTGGGAGACCCTGCAGATCTAAATCAACCAAACAAGAGACCTTACGAATTCTGGATCATAATTTTCTTGTTTGGTGCTACATGAATTCTCTAAATTAGAAGAACTAAGCACAATCAGAGCAGACTGCAGCTTAGCATTTAGTTGTTCTTCACTTTAATGAGGTATCTGGCAAGAAAGGACTTACGGATTCTGAACTGAGAACGACTGTTTCTTTACAGAACAGATACTGCGAAACATGGAACTTGGTGATTTGATGACAGTAACTGGAAACAACTCAAAGCAGTTATCCGTAGCTCTGGCTGGATGTTCATGCTTGCAGCTTTGTGCATAATTAGCAACAGACTTTGTGCTAAATAACCCATGACAGTAAACGTAATGCACAAAGTCCTTATTTGAGACATCAAGAAGTTTCCTTTCCTCCAGAAAAGATCCAGCAGGTGTTTCATTTCTTTTGAGTTCTTGTCATAGCTAAGGGCCTTTGCCACCTTTGGCTCTTCTCAGTGTACTGATTGGAGATGCTTTGTGATTTAGAGGCAAGGCTTCCAACAATACAAGCAGAAATAAGGTTTGTGATTTATTTAGCTTTTCCTTCTCTGTTCTCCAAAACTGTGGAATTCAGGTTGGATGTTTGTAATCCAGACTCCAGGTTAGAGGTTTGAACAATACTTGTTGATGCACTCGCTTCTGCTGATGACTGCTACAGGAAAACATACATTAAACAGCAAGTATAAGCATTGAGTTTTTGCTGCGGAAAGGAAAAAAACCTTCATTCCGCAATATGCATTTGTTAATTTAAGAATAAAGGGGAAAAAAACAGTGTGCAGCACCACTGGTTAAACACATTTAGTCATCCCTTTTATGATCTGTACTACAAACCAACCGCAGGTTTGAATCAGCTACAACATAGCAGGTCAGAGAATGAATATCTGAACAATATAGCTAATAACTAAGATAATTTAGAAATGAGCCATTCTGGTAGATCCATTTGGCCACTCAACGCTCAAGTGTATTGCCAGATTATTATTATAAAATTACAGTCAATAGGCTACAGTATGCGACATGAAGTCAAAATATATATTGCTGTTGTTGGAAGAAAATCTTGTATCTCCAAAATAGTAACTTTACAGGAAAAGGAAAAAATCTAATTAATTATAAGTCAGCAGGTATTTTCAAATTATGTTAAAAAATGAAAAGCGACAAAAATGGACATACAAGGTTTTCTTCCGACAGCAGTGATATATTCCTTCAACACCGTAAGACAAGTGTTGCAGTGTTAAGGTGCTCTTCACACTACAAAAAATGTTGTAGAGCACCTTATACTTAACCCTCATGTTATGTTAAGATGTTCTCATTGATTTGGGTCCCAGAGATCCCAAAGTTGTACCTGTAACGTGTGGTGTTCTCCTCCAAGCACATTAAGCTGTCTAGTGACACTGTGTTAACAGAAGTTCGGAAACATGCAGTCTCCCTTCTCTAGGAAAGCAGGTGTGTCCATGTGAAAAAGATTTAATGTGAGGTTAATTCTAATTTATCGCATTTGTCTCATTTGCCTTTGTTATTCCCATATAAGTGTAAAAAATACACTTTCAGAATGTACTTATTAATGTCAGGAATTAAACATTACTTTCATTGTGTGAACACAGGGTTCACAAAAACCTTAACATAAAAATCATGTGAAAGCAAGATGAACGTAAAAATAGGGTGAAAGCAGATTAACTACTGACATGAAGTGAGAGCAACAGTGGATGCCATTTGCATATGTTTATATGCACAGTGGTGTACAGATTTTTTTTTTGGGAACATCAGTTTAGAGTCTTCAACACCAATCAGAAAACCAACCCATGTGAAAGACCATTAAATTTAACCATGTTTTATAGTTGGGGTTCCCAAGATCCCAAAACAGATGTGTAAAATCTTCTGTATTGCAACATATTACCAAGACCAAATCATGCGTATGAGCAATCCTCACAAAATGAGGAAAAGCCCTTTTGCATCAAGCCAATTACTCCATGTTAAGAAGCCTACAGGAGGCCAAACATAACATGGGAGTTTATTACTCAGTTTCTGTTCTTTTTGCTATTAGCTCTAACACACTTGTCATATTCTGTTAAGCAGTTAAGCAGGCCATCTCAAAACCCAGGACCAAAATCAATACGTGGAGTACATCAAGCCCTTTTAATCCAGGTCATAGCCTGTAGGCAAGAGAAAAAATTAACACAGGGGAGCATGTACCTGTGAGGGATCGCTCTGTCGGCTTCTCTTTGTCTTTGCTTCTTTGAACTCACGACTCTGGCTGTCCAGTTTCCTCTTTACTACTGCAGTGCAATCTGAATCAAGAACTTTAAAAACACTGTCAGGTCCAGAATCTTCAATATTGCCCATGTTCTCTTTGATGTGACCTTCAGAATCGAACGTTTCCATTGCTGCTCTGAATGCCATGTCTGTGTCTGGATCAGGAGGTCGCTGTGTTTTAGTGGAAATACAATCCAGAACAGAAGGACAACCTGATTCTAACTTCGGGGCTCCACGTTTGCCGCTGTCAAAAATGAGACTGCAAGGGTTTTCTGTTTCAGCATCAGTTTTCTTTACATCACCAATTAAAGGGTCTGGAACTAGAGAATCTGTTGATTCTGAATCAGCGTCACCCTTGTCTGAGTCAATGACAGTCTGCTCCAATTCTGCATTAGAGCCAAAGGTTTGCGGCAGGTCACCAAAGTCTGTTATTGGGGTGGTAATCCTTTGTGATTTTAGGCCAGCAGTTTGGTGTGAATTGCAGTCTACATGTCCCACCGATTCTGAAGGGAGAATACCTTCTCCAATACAGTCTAAATTTTGCAAAGAGTCAACATCTTGAATAGTGTTTTTCTGTATGCCACAGCAGCCAGAGCCTTGAAGAGAAGAACTAAAAAAAGAGGTTCCAAATGGCTTTTGAACATCACTAAAACTGGCATCAGATAGAGGAGGATTTGAGAATCCAAAAGTGGACTGTTGTTCTATATGTGGTCCTCTTGTGCTAACTGGGGGGCATATTAATTTTTGAGTAAGGGCTTCATGTGGGCAAGACTGCAGAATGAGAGAACCTGAGCCCTCAGAATCAATATTTTGTTCTGGAACACCAGTGGATGATTCTGGATCATTCTTTAATTCTAGACAAGAAGTGTTTTCTGGAGCCCTATGACAAGAGTGTAAAACTAGAGGAACTGATGGCTCCACATCTGGATTCTTTGTTATACTGTTGTCAATTAATGGAACACGGGCCGTCTCTGTTGTGCTATGGCATGCGTCTAAAATGGGCTGGCTTGAAGATTCTGAATCAAGTGACATCATTTCTGTGAAAATGGTTGGGACCGCCAACACTGGATCAGAGGTTGGGTTTAGCTCAGTACTGCCACTTTCTGGAACAACTGAGGCTGAAGAAAGGGATTTCTGAATAGTGTTAGGATCAACATCTGGTAAGGGAGCATTCAGTGACTCTGGAAGGGTCCGTTGTGCTGTTGTGACTGGGTTCTGGATGGGATACTCAGACTCTGGATCAAGTGTTTTCTGTTCTATATTAGGCCTTGTCTTTGGAGTATGTACACTGCTGGTAGCTTCAGTAAAAGCCAACTCCTCTTTTCTTTCCGGTTCTTTCTGCTCACACACCAAAGCATGTTTCCAAAATTGATTCCTTTGATAAGATCCCTGACAAAACAGACAATGAACAAGGTCTTTATCCATCACTGTGCGCATGTTTTCACATTCTGAGCTTTTTCTCCTGTAAAGACGGCTCAATAATTTCTTCCTCTCCTCTTGGGTTTTGCTAAAATGCAAAGCTTCAATCACCTCAGGTTCCTCTGAGTGATCATACTGGAGATGCAGTTCTATTGTTCTACAAGCTTTACTGCAAAATCGGCAGTAAACAGTTTTCTTTTCCTTTTTCAATTCTTTGCTCTTGGTCAATGTTTTCAAGCCCCTTTTGGAGCGTCGGCTTTTCATATCTGGTTGACGGCCAGATGACTTAGCTGTTCTTGCTTTCCTCACTGTTGCACAGTCGCTCTTTCCTAAGATTTCAGAGTTGTCTGTTGAATCGTCTCTATGCACATCTGAGGTCTTCAGAACCAGGAATGTTTAAAAGAATACAAACAGAATGTACACATCAGTATTGCTTCTAATACAGCATATATCAGGCTATATACTATAATTGGCTATACCTCTTTTATATGACCACATGCTGAACAATGAAAGCTTATTTAAAACATTGCCAATTTTTCTCTTTTGATAGAGTTGCATACCTGGACATGCACAGCTTCTTGTTTAATCTTTGTTTCATTGTTCTTGACCATATTCGTGAATGTCCTGAAGGTGGATGACGTCCTGCCGATACATGCCGAAGTAGAGTGCACCCGCATGTGCTGTGATAGGGATGGCCTACCAGCAAACATTAAACCACAAACCATACATGCAGACGAGCTCTTCCGGCCCTTAGAGCTCTCCTTTGTTTGTGGGACGGAGACGACCACCTTCTCATCTCTCTTAGTGAGTGGACCATCACAGGCACACTGTTCTTTTGTCTTATCTGCTATAGACTCTACATCTAATGCAGCACCTATAACTTTTTGTGAGTATCTGGGGAGGGAATTGTCAACTGTTCCTGTGTCCGCCAACCTTTTAGGTGCAGTTTGATCTATGGTTTGCGAATAACTATATAAAGATCTATTGACCTGTTCTACGTTGGTGGGAAATTGGGCTGGCTGATTGGTCATGGCATCTTTCACACCCAACTGTGCAGTCTGCACTTTACTTTCTGTTGAGGGTTTCTTTTCATCTAGGTTGCTGGATACATTTGACCAGTTATCGTCGTCATCATAATCACTGTTGACATCTGAGAGATTCAAACAAACTGACGCTTGGCAGCCTACTTGCTGCATGGTGGCAGAACTGGACTCTTGTTCACTTCTGATGGTCATCTGCTTGGCATCAAGCAAACAACCAGGGCTTTCTACCTGACTATCTTTTTGCCAAAATTCAGACATTCTGCCTTTAGAGGGCTCTGTGTTTAAATGGTCCCCTATGCTGACAAAGATCTTTTCAGAGTAGGAGGTATTTTCAAAAGACTTAGAATCTGGACCTAAGGTAGCACAAACAACACCTGGATCATCTGTCACTGACTTAAGAGCATAGCTTACTCCAGACAACACATTCTGGCTCTCATATGCATTTTCAACTAAAGTTTGAGGAAGACTACGCTTCGCTTGGTAATCTACAGTGCTTACTGTAGCAACGTCAGAGATTAGGTGCAGTTCCTTGTCACCAGTCTCAGCATTGACTGATCTAAAATCAACTTCTCCAGGTGGAGCCCAGGGCTTGGATTTAGATGTAATTGGTTCTAGAACAATTCTAGGCTGCAGATTGAAGTGGCTTTTGGCATTGCTAACTAATTCTGATTCAGTTCTTGGATGTTTCATGCTGTGGCTGGAAGCAGCACCAGCTGAATGCAGAGGTAGTACTAGGCTGCCAGTGCAAACTGAATGAGGTTGGGCAGTTTCCATAGGCTCTGTGGTACTTGTATGATCTTGGGACACTGCAGAAGTCTGATTCCTAGTCAGTGCGAATCCTCCATCCTTCTCCCTTTCATCACTGCTTTCTATTGCAGGCTGCAGGGGGGAAAGTTGGCAATTAGTAATTCTTAACAAGAGAAGTCTAAACACTATTTAAGAAAAAGACTAATGAGGTAACCCACAATAATTACTCTTTTTGTTGGTTTAAGGAAAAAAGTGGAACAAATGGAGATGTCAAGGCACTCAACTTGCAGGCAGAAACAGCCCTTTATTTGGAAGGCATAACTGCAAATAATCTATACCTGTTTATGTGTGATGGTAATGGCCAGTATGAGAACAGTCAAATGAAACAAACTGAAACAAATTCTAACAGGACAGGTGCTTCAAACTTCTGCTCTTGGTACCTTACTGTTCTACCTGGAAGCACACTGTCTTGCATTAATCAGTGCTATGATCCATACTGATATAATGCATTTAATGGATTCAAGGCAGTACTTGTTAGCTTTGCTTACCCATGCTCAATGCTAGATAGCAAATAACAATGCTTTTTTAACATGCAAAGACAGATCTTTATTTTTGAACACACGTTTTGGCTTCCACATGACTGAAATAAGAAATCTTTTGGACACATGAGGCTGTAACTTTTACATGAGTAGTCTATGTCAAACAAAAAAAAAAACAAACAAAAAAAAAAGGTGTCCAGTAGTGCAGTGTTTCCCAATCCTGGTCCTGGATGCCCACTGCTCTGCACATTTTAATGTTTTTCCCATTCCCAGCACATCTAATGGAAATAATCAGCTCATTAAGAAGCCCTTGCTGAGTTTAAATGAGTGTGTTAAAGTCCGTGTAAAGCAGTAATAAATGTGTTCTGAGTTTGTCACACCACCAAGTTTCATTATCGTGAAAAAAAAAACCCAAAAAATAAAACAGTATTCTCTGTTCTGAAACACTGGGGGTGTGTACACTGAAGGCGCTGAAACCACACCCAATTGACTGAAAGATGGAGCTTCTCTCAAGTATGACATACCACTACGACCTGAAAAATGGATGCTCCATCTAGCAGTTTTGGACTTGTACAGCTATACATGTTTGAACCACAACCAGAATCCAATTCGGAGCCCGAGGACACTGAACTACCCTAGAATCAACTTCACTCCTCTCAGTCTGCAACAGAATGGTCATTTTTTCTACCATTTATACAAGGTGTAGCTAGTGTAAGATAATAGAGTAGCAGCAGCCTGTAGCTTGTTAGCCCTATTCTGTAAGCGGCCGTTCCGGCTAACGTATCGCCTGAAGACACAATGTGCTTACCACACATGGTCTTCGAGTCGGGCAGGCTTGGCTACTCAAAGTACTGAGTAGCTGAGAGTTCCACTAGCCTAGCTGAAGTAAGTGACGGAGGGCTAGTGAGCCATAACAGGAGCCACGGCTCGCAGTGTAAAATGCAGCCGCTGAGCACTGACCTAGCTCAAACAGCCTGAAAGGCTAGAGTAGGCCGGCTAGCTGACAGCACCTTTAGATTAGCTGAAGTTAGTGAGGCTAGCATTGTAGCAGAGGAGGGGCAAGCTGTTCTGCAAATTCTGCCACCCAGGGAAGATGCATTTGTGGGATAAAGGCATAGCTAGTTGCAAACTGTAGGGATAAAGGCATAGCTAGTTGCAAACTGTAGGCTGCAACAGGTGTAGCAACTCATGATCAAGAGTGAGAACCACTGACGCTAATGCACTCTAGTTTTTATTATGTAATAGGGTGAGGGGAGGGGTCATGCCAAGTATGGCCCCAGTGCAACATCAAGTCACGATTTCAGCCACACTCAAAAAAAACTCCTGAACACAAAAACAATGAAAAACAGTTTAACGGTCTAACTCCACAGTTCAGTGCTACAAATTTCACAGTCTTTTCACACGTTTTCAGCAATTATTTTCCAACACATATTATGTGTTCTTATTGTGTTACTATCACATATTATCTCTGAATTTCCTTTACACGGACTTTAAAGCTTGGAAAGCACTAAAATGCACAGGGCAGTGGACCCTGCACATTTAGCACATGAACCTTGGTGATGCTTAAGTACATATGCTGGCACTACTGGTGTATTACTGAGAGTCCTGTTAGAATTCTGCATTTGCTGTTAAAGAACTACGTCATAAGTTTTAAAACTGAAAAATAAAATTCATTCAAATGGTCAATCCCAGACTGACTTGTCTGGTGACGGCAAGAGGTCACTGAGGTGCTTTTCCTAACATTTTAAAGTAATAATTGAAGAAACAGTTCAGGATGTTTCATAACCAGTGTTCAAATCCTAGTGTCGGTGGACAATGTCAACAATTTATTTACAAAAACAAGTTATTCCTCAAAGGTGTCAGTCTGACATGCAGTCTTTTGTAGTCATCATGTGTTTCATCATAAATTCTCCTACCTCCTGGCTGTAGGTATCTGGGACTCTGGGCCTTGTCAGGTCACCATAAAATTGTTCTTTACGTTGTCGGTAGGAGTATGGTTTCTCGCCTGAGTGGATCTGCATGTGCACCATCAGCCGCATTCCTCGTCGAAAGACTTTATCACAAAAGGGACATGGATACGAAACTTTACCTCCGTCCTCTTCTTTCTGAACTATAGAATCTTCAGTGGATGAACCCTCTTGCGGCATCTGAAATTGGGGGAGAATATTAGGTCTGGTAACACTGACAATTTGCAAATAAAAAAGACTAGCAATTAATACAACTTCCAACAAAACCTGGCAATAGCAAATACCTGTCCATCATCACTCTTTTGGGCCTCATCATTTACTTTCTTCTGCAAAGTCAGCATTGCTTCCCTGTGGCCAAGCATGTGCATGTTAAGCCAGTTCCTCCTAGCGTATACTTTGCCACAGTGTTTGCAGAAATAACGAGCAGAAGTTTTTTTAGCAGATTCCTTGTTTTTGGATTCAGGTGCCTGTATATCAGATGACTTGTCGCCATTTTCCTTTGATAGCTTAAGAGTAGTGAAAACAGGTACATAAATATTAGTTAAAAAGAGTTTATCATTTAACACTGCATGTGTTAATAAATACAATTTAATTCCATATTAACTTTTAATTAATTCAGATTCTATTGTCCTAGAGATAAACAGGGAAACATACCATTACAGTTGTATCCAAGTTCCTAGTTTGCTCTTTGTCATCAAAACTGTGCGGCATCTCTAGAAGTGTCTTTTTCCTCTTTCGTTTCTTTTCCACAATGTTCTCCATAATTTCTTCCACAAGACTCTGTTCCTCTGCTTTCCTTTCCTTTTGTCTAAGTTCTTTGAGCATCTGTCTTTTTTGCTTCTCTTCCATCCTCTCTCTTTTGTGAATCTTCTTATGGGTTTTCAGACACCCAAGAAGCAAATAAACTTTGCCACACTCACGGCAAGAGAATGTTTTCTTTGATCTTGGAATGTCTCTTGCTTCTCCAGTAGACTCGTCAGGGATTCTTCTTGATTCCTCTATGATTTCGCTGGATTTATCCATGATTCTTTCAGACTCATTATTGCTTGTTTTAGATTCTGAGTTTCTTTTTGATTCTAAAGTGACTTTTTGGGGCTCAGTAATTGTTGTTGGTTGGTCAGAGACTATTTCTGACTTTCTTTTTAACTCTTTGGTCACATTTTTCTCATCAACAGCATCTTCTTTTGACAGCTGAAAGAATTGAATGAAATGATAAAAATACATTAAAAAAATTACAATCCAATCTTACCGACTTCCTATTATCTGACTTGAAATGAGTACACACTGGAATTAATGAACTACTCTAATATATAAATGTGTGATATTCAATGAACCTTGTCAAATCAACATAATTAATCTGTTATTACAAAGTTGTGTGTTTGCAAAACCAAAGATACAGCTAATGTCCTGGTGACTCCACCATACGCAGCACTGAGAGGTGTAAATAAAAGGTAACCAACCTGAGACAGGGTACGCCGAGCCCTCTTCTGAGAGACAGGCAAGATGCTTTGTAGATGAATTTCACTTTTTGATGGCGTCTTAAGGGTATGACTCCGAATATGTGGCCCCAACCACCCTTCACGAGTGAATACTTTGTCACAGTGTGGGCAGGCAAAGATTTTCTTTAATATATGAGCTCTGCTGTTTTCAGCAACTGTCTCCTGTGTGTCCTTTGTCACCTACATGAAGCAAAAAATATCAAAAATTAAGCTGATGAAAATAATTCTGTATACAAATAAGAATGTTTGATTTGCTAAGATAACATACTATTCACACTGCATCAGAAGATAAAGGAATAACCAGATAAATATACTGTTTGTGTTGTTCAGCTTAACAAACAACATGCACCTGTACTTTGTTCACAGAATAGAAGCCTCTGTGAAATTCCCATATCATGAATTTGAAAAAGAAGATCTAAAGCTGAGTATTATTTCTGCTCTACAGTAAAGCTCTAGCCTAGATACTGGATATTAAAACGGTCATTTAAGTACTGTAGGTACCTCAGTTGAGTGTTGTTCTGCATCTTTGTTGTTCTGCATCTGTTTACTTGGAAGCCGCTTCTGCTCTTTGCGGGCTAAGGAGCGTTCCCGTTCATGTGACTTCAAATGGAAAGTCAGCCAACAGGAACGAGCAAATATCTTCTTGCACTCAGGGCACTGAAACAGGGAATGGCCTCCTGCTTTGGCCCTTTCAACCTCCATTTCATTGTTTCTCATTATTGGTTTCTGAAAGAAGTTTAAAAAGGTAACAGAACAATCAAAACACCAAACTGGGAAAAACACAACTTATTAAAGTTAAGACTGTTTGTGTTCCATTTCTTATATTCTGACATTTTTAATATTCTGATTAATTATATTCTGACTTGTAGAAAGGTTAGATTTTGACACTGCTTATTTGAATTAAGCCATGATTATGCTAGCTCACCTTAAGGTCATATTGTTTATTACTGTATTTTATAATATACTTAGATCATAGAAATAATACTTCATACTGAATGAGTTCAGGAGAGCTTTTAATATTTTAGGTAGAGATGGCACGATGCCCTTTTTCCTTTTCCAATACAGATATCAGTATTGTATCAATATATATATATATATATATATAAAAAAAACTATTGTGAGAGTGGTGGGATGCAGTTGTTTGAGAGAAGTGGAGGTTGGTTTTGAGACCTGAATTCTATTACATATGACATATTTTACATGTATGTGTGGACATGACAAACAGACATTATAAATAACCAAGACTACACTATCTACATTTTTTACCCCATCTGTTGTCATTTGTGGGTCTCAGTGGGATGTTGATATTTATTGCCTTGGTCATCAACTGCACCATCCTAAACTCTATTATTCTCACCCCAGCACCCTGTCTGGGTCTTGGGCCTCAGGTCCAGCTCTTTCAGCTCTCTCTTACAGCTCATGGCAGCCCCCTCTCTGACTAACTTTCCTCTTTCTGCAACTGTAATTTCATAAATCAAATTAATATAAACGTAAGTGTTGGGATTACTATTTATGCATGTACTTCTATATCAGGACATTTATTCCGCTCACTCTCTCACATACACACACAATCTAAGCAGCTTATCCACCTAGGTCGCGGGGGTGCTGAAGCCTATCCCAGTAGTCACTGGGCAGAAGGCAAGAAACACCTTGGACAAGTTGCCAGCCCATAGGGCAGACACACAGACACATATTCACACACATTTAATCGAACCTAAGGGCAATTTAGCATCTCCAATTCTACTCAGCTTCTTTTCTTGTGCAATTCTGAGTTAAGTCATAGTGTTTTATGTGCTACAGATACCACAGGCTACGTGTGCTTCAGTCTCATCATTCTCAAATCAACTCTTACTGGTCTAGTCCAATAATGATGTCAAATCCATAAAAAGTGTAAGGTATTCTTTCTAACCAACAGAAAAAAGAAAAAAAAAAAACTTAAGAGCTACTCAGGACAACTTCAACTTGATTACTGTACAGTGAGTAATGTTATGGCTCTTGTAGTTAACTGGAAACTGCTTTTTCATACAGAAAGAAGTTAGATACCAAAGTCAGAGCACTTAACATTCATGAAGTCATGCTTTACTTGCTCCATCTAGCTATTCTCCCTCTTCTCCTTGTTGGTTAGCTGCTCTGCTCTCCCCTCAACTTTTCTGATTTACAGCCAAACTGGAAACGAGACGCGCTGTTTGTTTTCTAAGAACGGACTAGCAAATAATAATGTGAATAAATACTAAAATAAGCCTAAATAAACTCAGACAAAATTTATCTTTGCACAGAATTAATTTTTGTGATCGCTGTATTAACCCAGAGTGCCAGAGTGCCATCTCTAATTTTGGGCGATAAATATAGTCTCTTTTTTTTAATCATATATTAAAACCAGGTATCTACCATGTTGTACCCATACAACAAGGCAGGGGATCCTGATTGTCTGCATTTGTTAAATTATGGTCAGTTTCTCTAAATGTAACATATTAAAACTTTTGTGCAGCCCACAAAGAGAAAAATAATCTTTATTCATGTAAAGTTCATCACTGAAAGAACAACATAGGTTTTAAATAGGTTTAATAAGCAAGCCATAAAATGAAAAACTTTTGGCAACATAGGCTTCGTTCACATTACCAGGCTTACGTTGCACAAAATAAGATGTTTTGCCCAAACGTGATACAGATCTGATGTTTTCAGAGCTGTGTGGACATACAAATCTGATCTTTCCGAATCAAATTTGAACAACTTTCATATGTCCTAGAACGGATACATATCCAATTTGTGGCCATATGACCTTAAAGGAGGAATGATCAAATTGGAATTCATGTTTTTCCTTTTCCACTGCATGCACCGTCATTCAGTGTTAATGTGGCAGATGTGCCTAACAATGCAAAAGTAAAGCATCTAATGCTTTTTCACCTACATCTTGCTGAAAACTGTTAGTGTGGATATGATAAATAGACATGTTAGTTAGTTTGTTGCTCATGACGAACACAAATGACATTATTAATTAGGATGTGCCCATGTGGGTTTTAGGACACAGGTTTGTTCACATTAATGACAGTTTTAAGTCACTTATGTAAATGAATGTGAGCTAAGCAAAAAATTGGAATTGAGCAATAAGGCTCGTAATATGAACGTGGCCATTGACTGAAAACAAACAGCTGTAACATTTGGCAGTAACCATGGTTCAATATGGTCTTAGGTAGAGTGTTACAGCTTTTTATATAATGAATTTTTGCCAAAATAATGAAATAAGATCACAGACTTAGGTGTGGACATTATGACGACATTTATCATTATCATGATGAGTTGCGTCACAATACTTTTCTGAGCATATTGTGGATAATGTCTAAAAACTGAATATTTCACTACAAACAGAGCATAATTAGGACTGTTTAATTAAATTGGGTTCAGTGCACTGTGTGGAAAGTTGAATACAAATCATTTGTACTCATATTTTTGATACCATTTTTTAAACGTGGCACCACTGGTTCTTTTCCTAACTGTTCCAACGTATCCGGTGTCAAAAACAATAAATCACGATGATATATTTTTTATCATATCACCCATCCCAACATAAACTATTCTGATACTAATTAAAACATGAAATCAAAGCTGAAATCAATCCGTTGTAAATAGCATTGCATACAAAATAATGGTTTTGTGTACACAACTCTGCATTCAGGGCAGAATTTGACGTTGCCTTTTCATTCTCGCCACCGTTCACCACTCATCTGAATGGATAATCTGAAGGAGGGGGAGAAAAACAACTCTAAATTAATCAAATCAAGTATTTTGAGAAGACAATATTTCCAACCATGCTAAAAAATTACAATTTTGCTATTTTATAGCAATGAAATTAGAGATGTAAAATATCTTATGGACACTGAATTGTTTGGTCTGCATAATATGTAATACAAGTAGCATTATTTAAAACATTTACCACAATTTAAAATGTTCAGCTGAGATTCAGCATCTTATATTTGGCAAATTAAATCCTAAAAAAATGAAAAACATTTAGAGTCTTACCATTCCACAGATCTCTGGGTGATTCTGCAGCAAATGTGTCTTCAGATACACAAAGCTCTGCGTAGTGTAACTGCTTTCCTCCTGCATTTCACATCGTTTTCCAGAAATATTACATACTGAGATGCTGGATATTTTTCTCTTTATTTCACACAGGTTTCTCCCCAGTGTACGTTTTTTTTAAACAATGCTATTATGATATTATTGGAGGAGAGCCAACAGCTACCAACCTGGGCTAATATGCTCCCTTTATGACATGTGATGGCAGTCACCACATCTGTTCCAGCTGCTGACCCAAAATTGTTGTAGGACAACAAAGCACACCTGGAGGAGAGCACTGACTGCCTAAATACGTATAAGTGATCGCTTTGAACCAATGGTGAGTGAGGAACTAAGCAACCCTTTCCAAGGACAGTATGGCCAATTTTGCTCTTGGGACACCCGACCACAGGCAGCTGCAGGATCAGTGAAAACCAGCAACAGGACGCAATGCTTGAAGCTAATTTTTATGTACAGATTTTAATGTTGTTCCTGGTTAACCCTTAAAAACATTTAATCTTTACTATGAAACTATTATCAAACTACTACAAATTACTTGGCAATTACTTTGAAACTTACGTCACTTACATTGTTATGAAAGAGAAAAATTTAAAGTGCACTCACATACTGGCCTTTGCAGTTTAAGGAGTTAAATGACCACCAAATACATATGTGTAAGCCATGTTACTACAACAGTAATGCAGAACCAATTAAAGATGCTTCCAGATATAAATCATACTCAGTGTGTTGTACCTTAGGATGCTTTCGAGGTCTCTTGTCTGTCTTGTCAGTGTCTTCCTGCTCTTTTTGTTCTTCTTGGCTGGGAAACGGCTTCCTATGGGTCTTCATATGCGTTGCCAGCCTTGATACAGACTTGAAGACTTTTTTACACTTCAGACACTGAGGAATTTTGGATCTGCGTGGTCCCTGCCTGCCTCTGTGACCCACAGGCTTGGCTCTACTGCTTTCTGGATACTTGCTGTTGCTAGTGTCCCTGCTGGCTTCATCTGATTTCTCGCCTGTCTCTGCTTCTGGGGCACTGGGGGCAGTAGTTCTTGGAGCACTGATGCTGGCTGATCCTGTACTCTTCTCTGTCTGCTCTGAAGTGTCCGACAGATCTTCCACAATCTCTTTTGATGGCTAGATGTGACAGGAAACAATTAATGCATTTAACATGTTTAAAAATAACAAATGTATAAAAATGTATGGACAAGCATTTGCTAAACTCTAACCTTGGCAAGGCCTGCCAGTGCAAAGGTAAACTAATAAAACTACAAAAGGAGATGCATGAACATGTTTATAATTATTGGACATCAGCTTTAAATAACTTGACGCACAATCCGATGACATGAAAAGTTTTAAAACCTACATATAATTTGGTAAGGCCACGCAGTTTCTTCTTCCGTTTCTTGTCACCGTAGAAGCACGCTTTGCGCCTGCGGTACATGTACGGCCTTTCAGCAGAGTGGATGCGCATGTGGAACATCAGCCTCTGCTCCCTCCCGAAGACTTTACCACAGTCTGGGCAGGCAAATGACATCTTCTGACTCCTGCCCCTTCCCCTCCACTGCCTTGCCGCCATGGTAGGGTCAAAGTCCAGCGGAGCCATATAGCTGTGGGACGAATCCCACACCGTGCCATCAGGAAGGACAGCATTGGCGGGCTGACTGGTTGCAGGATTGACTGTTTCCAAATCAGCAGTACACACTGATGCTGTGAGATTGGGGTCAGGTGTAAATGACTGGCAATCAGAGGCATCAACAGGCTCGGCTTTGATCGCCAGCCCTTCGAATACTGGTCCGTCTGCCAGGCTAACAGGCTGCTCAGGGACATAGGGGTCAACTTCATCTAGAATAGAAAAAGCAGTGGTTGGGTTGAACCTAGAAATGTTAAAATATGCAAAAGGCATCAACGTGCCAGTTCAGAGATAAACCAGCAGAAGGATTTCTACCTAGTCCAATGGATGAGTCTAGATTTTTAATAGTCTAATTGTCACAAAAGTTTTTAAAAAATTAAAGAGTACATTAAGTTTTTCCACATGCAACTGGGCTTGTCTAGGACATTGTACAGTTCAAAGAAGGCACATAAATTCTATTAAAACAGGCTAAAGGCTCCAGCGCACTGGATAAGAAGTTTATTTTGTCATGTGATAATGACGAAGTTTGGGATTTTGAGTGCTTATTTGTACCTAAAACTTGTTATATGTTGTGATATTCTCTCTTGCCCAATTGCCAGGTGTGTGTGCCCTTCACAACCAGACAAGACATTCTGACTTATCATTTCTGCCAATATCAAAACCTGTTAGGATTTTATAAGTCGTGTATCATTCTCCTAGCTTTAAAGGAGTTGATTAGCCAAAAAAATAAATTGCACAATTTTACCTTAACCCACAATGTACCCAAAACTAGACAAGACATCTGGTGTCCGGAGCTCAATTCTTTGGGTTTGCACTGGAGCTAGTATAGCTACTAAGTAATGGCGGCTTACAAACACCAGTTAGCATCATGTAAACTGTTCACACTTTCTTCAGATTCAACTGAGCAGTTAGAGGACCTCAAATGTTCTTATATGGTTTCTGTAAATCTGTGTGATTTTTATTTTTTTCTGCCAAAACATGAATTTAAGACTAAAATCAAAGATGGCCAGTTGGAACTTTTGTTCCACTACTAAATCCTCTTCGTATAAAAACCAAACAAATAAACTGCTTGGTAGATACAGTTATCCTAAAGCTGAAGAGTTTAATCCCAGTTATACAACGGAGGGACAGCGATGGCCATTCAGGACCAACTGTCCTAAAGCTCACTGGCTAAACACATGGAGAAACTACTGCCTGTGGACCATAGAGGGAGCAGGACTACAGAGATACAAAAGAGATCGCTTTTGGAGCGAAAAGCAGCTCTGCAGCATGCAGTGGAGAGAGAAGCTAAAGTTGGCTTCTCACTGGATTTTTCCGTTCCACCTTAAATGATTCAGCAGTACTATTACTTGTCTACACAGACTTACATTAATACTATTTATGTACCATTCACGCCGGAACGAAAAAGTCGAATAAGAAGTTAACTTAAGCCTGGTGGTCACTGGAGACTCTTCAAGATGTTCAGGACAATCCCGTTACTTTAAACGAGACTCGGCTCACTCCGCACGGCGTCATTCTTAGACTAAAGCTTGCTAGATTTTGCAAAACGTAAACTGTTCCAACAAAAAGCACAGGTTCGACCAATAAATAAAAAATAAGACACTTATGCAGAACTAATCGACAACAGACAAGCCTGCTAGCCATGTCGCTAACTAACAGGATAACACAGGTAACCTAAAAAACAAAACATGCATTCAGTGACGAAGCTGAAGTCAGTTTCTTATTCGACAGCTTCTTGTTCGGTTTTTCTATTCCACTTTAAATGGTGCAGCAGTTACATTTTGGTGCCTGAAGTTCAGAATGTAACTGCTGCAATATTTAAGGTGGAACGGGAAAGCCAACTTCAGCGCTCTAGCCTCATTCAGCGTAAGGTACCAGAGGAATGTAAACAGACTCGACACTGCGGTGTTATGAAGTCAATGACTTTATCAGTGTTCCCTCCCACAGTTTTAGCCGCAGGCCGAACCCCCAGGCAGGACGAGCGTTACCTGGCCAGTCGGTGGGAATTTCGCCCTCCATCCATCTCAGCCTCCGTCTCAGAATCTCATTTTCTTTCCGCGCCCGAATCGTCTCCGCTTCGTACTCCAGCACCGTGCCGCCCACCATCTCCATTATCTGCTCCACCGCCGCCATCAGCCGCTCGTTCAGCGCCCGGTGCAGAAGCTGTAGTTTGGTCATTTTCCACGTTTTGTTTCTCCAGATTTTATTCTATTTTTCAAAGTATCTAAACATGCAGCAAAGAGAGCGGATAACTCGCTGTCTCCTTGTTAACGCTGTTCTTCTTCCTCCAAATGTGCGAATTCAACTAGCTAGATTTACTGCCACCTACAGGCTGGAGCACAGCTCACAGTGACACGAACCGTTGTCTCTATACAACGACTTAAAGGGGAATTCCACCGATTTTTCCAAATTTTTGCGACGTAAATAAAATCATTCAGAGTGGTTTAATGTGCAATGGTTCGTTGTAGAGAAAGTTACAGACAGATTTCTTTACAGTGGTGCTGATAGGAACCAGGGGATGCGATGTCTACAATACAAATATAGACACTTAATTTTTTATCCAAAGTCACCAATGAACCTACACATGTTTAAGTTTTATATTTATAGTTTTATTTTGCCTGCATGTTTCCCTTCGCCATGAACAAATTATGCAAAATGAATTAACAAGATGGTTTAGGCCAAAACTTTATCATAAAACTACCATAAAGCAATGTGTCAGGCATCAGGCAGTGTGTTCATAACCATTTTGTGTAATAACTTGTGAGGGAGCTTTTAAAGGCATTAAACTCTTCAGAGGTTTGAGTTCCACCACCGTAAACAATCCCGATTTAGAAGGTTTCTCTAGAACAGAGTATTTCACACCAAACCACTTTGAATGATTCTGACCCATTTAGTTATTTAGAAATGTAGAAAAATTGGTGGAGTTCCTCTTTAAATACAGTGCTAAAGCATGGCAAGTTGATTTAAATTCCCACTTTTCCAAATTTGTACATAATTAATTCGTTAAGATGTAAAGAAAGTCCTTCAAAGTGATTTGATGTGAAATTCACCACTTTAGAGAAATTTATCAAGTCTGAATTGTTCACAGTGGGTGTGACGGGGGCATCCAAGTGTTTAATGCCACTAAAAGCTAGAAACTTTAAACAAAACTATTACACAAAATGGTTATAAATCCAATGCTTGATGCATGAGACACAGTTTTACAATAGTTCTTCCAAGATTTTGGCCTAAAACGTATTTTAAAGACACATAAATGGTGAAACAGCAGGGCATTATAAGGCAAAGTAGGACACAATAAAAGCTTTTTTTTTGTTTGGATTTGCCACTTATTTACATATCAGGCATTACACATAAAAACCCTGAAGACACATGTAGGTTTACTGTTTTTTTAAGGTAAATGAACCTGCTATATTTTTATTATACACATTGCGACCTCTGGCTCCTGTCACTGTCACTGTAAAGAAATCAGCATCTGTAAGTTTCTCTACAATAATGCATTTTACATCAAATCACTCTGCATGACTTCTTTATATATCAACAACTGATTATGCATTTATCTTTAAGTACAATTAAGGGGAATATGAAGAATCGACGAGAGGAAATACAGCAACCACAAAGCCACTGCTTTATTTCTAAAATCCATACACTTTCCTACGGATGTAACAGGTACCAAACAAGAGATAATCTTAAATGTGTGATGTGAGAAAGTAAATATGCCCCTTAAAGAGGTTTGTTTTAACATACTATCTTACTGATTGAAAGATCTGGTTGCCTTTCACTGCTCTAACTGGCTAAATCCCTTAAAATCCCAGGCTACATACTAAGCTTATTATTCAGTAACTACAGGGACTTCAGTGCAAACTGGTTGAGTTATTCTTAAGTTATAGAGGTAAGTAATAAAACTTTGGGCCTGCTGTTGGGCCCTGGACATTTAAGGAGTTAATATACATAATTTAACCACATTTATAAATTATATTTTAACTCAAAAATAGTAGTAGTAGTAGAAAAGTTTGTATTAATATTAGAGCAGATTGTCAGTGTCATTAAGCTGGTTGCCTTGCATAAAAAATCTGAATATTGGTCTGTCACATGCAGATGAGGCTTGGGCTAAGTGTCTGACAGATTATCTATAAACGGAACAAATGGAGAAAAAAACAACAGGAGCAATCTAGGCACTGAAGCCAGGGATGTGCTTACTTTTTCAGTTATAACACCGTAACTGAATTTCAGTTATTTTTGATAATAAGTATATAACAAATAAATACAAAAACTTTTTTTAAATTATTTGTTCAATTAGATCACATTAATCCACTGAGAGAACTGAAAGGAGGATCCATAAATCCTATGTTTTTCAGAGGTTCACTGCTAATATTTGAGTGGTTTTATATACCAAAAATGGCCACAACTCATTTTTACATAACATTTTTTCAACCTCTTTATCCCTCAGAATTAAACAGGCTGATTTTCTTACTGTGCCTTTAAATATGTAAATTATCTCTGTTTTGATTGGCTGCCCTGTATAGTGCCTCATTCAAAAAGCACTCAGAGCTGAAACATTCTTTAGAACTGCAGTATGAATGGGCAGAGCTAAACTGCCGTAGGCTGAATAGGTGGATGTAAATTAGTTGGCTTTCCTGTTAAACTGTCCACTTCGGTGGGATGTGAAGCTTTTTGTTAAAAGACTCAGACTTCTAGATTGGAAGCTCTAGGGGTTGTAGCCTGTTTTTCTTTGGGGTTTGTCTTTGTTTTTGTTGAGAGAGTTAGGTTAGTTTCTTTAATTTTATGCAGGAAAGGTAGTTGATTGGGAAGGTATATATCTATTCTTTTGGACTGAGACCACTCCTGAAGCTTTGGCTTCCACAATCTACAATAAAGCTCATGAGACTCGTAATGTGTGTTTGCGTGTGATTGGTCTGGCAGGTTGGGGTTGGGAAGTGTGGGGAGACACTTTTTTTATGTTGCGGCCTACCCTAGATGGGTCATAACACATCACAGAAACAATGAATTCTAAACAGGCTGTTTTTGCAGCTTAGTTTTCATAAATGGATTGAACAGAGTGAGGAGTGAATGGTACGTTTTGAAACTTTAACAGCGTTTATATTAGGAATGTGCATGAGTACTTGAGCGCTCGGGTAACTGTTCAAGGTGCCAGTATTCAAATACTGAGATCTCTATTCGGGTACTTGTTACGTTTGTTAGGCAGAGACAATAGAGGCTAAACTCAGTGAAATGCAATGGTTTTGCTCCCATCTGTGAGTATGTTTTAGATTACTTTGCTACTCTGAAACATGAATGCTTGAACATGAGTGCATTGACAAGGACACGTTTAAGGTTAGGCTAGCTATTCTAGCTGATGTTAGATCCAAAAACAATGAAACTATATTTCTCTGGCAAACAACATGATGCCACATCATCCACTCAGGAGAAAATATCTTGTGTAGAAGGCGAGTCCTCTTTAGCAACTAAGATGACACTTGTAAGCTCTGTTAGCTCATCAACGTATCTGAAGAGGCCCTCATTACTCATTACAACCCAAAAACCTCACAATGTACTCAGCTGTTTTTGAATAATAAGACATGTTGCTCTGCATGCTGCTATATTTTTGTGCAACACCAGAGCTGTCACCTAAAAAGTTAGCCCAACCCTGTATTATATTTGTCCAAAGTCAGTTTTTGTGGCTTTGTTTGTTTTCCTGTCGTTAACCAGACATCTGCCCATGGACTTTTAAGGATAGTCAAATGTCAAAAATGCACATCCCTAGTTTACATATTATTTAAAACTCCTTTATAAAAAAAAAGTGAGGCTAATTCAGTTTTCCATGATATGGGCCCTTTAAATGAGCCATAAATTTATTAGAGGAGATGTATTCAATTTCTCACAACACTGTACCACTGCTAACAAAAAAATCCATCCAGTCATCATCAGGAGAGTATTTCCACAAGTATTTCTATTTCCGTTTATCAATGACATGAAGGCTTTTGAATTTTCAGAAGAGTGTCATGGAAATCTCTGAAAATTTTGTTTAGTCTTTCAGTAAGTATAACAGATATGCATAGCCCACGTTGCTTATAAAAACCCATCGGCCTTTCATTTTTACTGTCTTTGTTCTATCAGGTGTTGCTTTAGCAGGTGAAGCTGTAGTGACCGAGCCACCGTGAAGCTCTGGTCACAGAGTGAGCAGCAGTAGCGTTCTTCGTAGTGTTTGCGCTGGTGTTTCTTCAACGTGTGGCCGTCGCTGAAGCTCCGTGCGCAGAGCGTGCACTGGTAGGGCCTCTCTCCCGTGTGGATGCGCACATGTCTCCGCAAGTTGCTCCTCTGGCTGAAGCTCTTGGAGCACCAGGTGCAGCGGTAGGGCCGCTCACCCGTGTGCGTGCGCAGGTGCCGCCGGAGGTCAGCCGACTGGTAAAAGCCCTTGCCGCACCAGCTGCAGCCGAAGGCTCGCTCGTGAGCCTGCTGGTGTGTCTGCAGCTTCTTCAGCTCCTTAAATGTCTTCCTGCAATGCGAACACTTATACTGTGCATCTCCATGGATTTCACCAGTCACTTTCTCTGAACAGCTTGGCGGTTTCGGTTGAGCAGCGCTGTGGGGTCCTTCTCGGTCTGGCATGTGCGTGTCTGAGAGAGGGGCATTACGGCAGCCTCTGCTAGGACTGACCGTCCTCTGAGAGGTTTCAGGGCTGTAAGAATGGCCAGAGTGTGTAGGAACATCAGTGTCCGGCAAACTTACGGGAATTTCAGTCTCCTCTGGTTCAATTTTTACCCTGTGCAGTTTCACAACAGGTAAGGACACATCCAAGCCCTGCTGAGAGTTGTGCCCTTGAACGTCTACAGAAGTTAGTGATTCTGTGTGGGATCCCAATTTAAGAGTATATTTCTCTTCTTTGCAAACTGGTACCAGTGTGTGTGGGCCCTCCTCATTTAATGAACCATCACTCCATTTCTGGCATTGACTCTGGTTTTCCTGCACCTCTTGAAGTTCTTCTCTCTGCTCAAGGCTGGAGCTCCACTTCTCTGGCCCACAGGGAGAGATTTCTTCTAAGACAGACTTGGACGCATTGTGGACTGTTTCTGGACAAGAAGAGGAAAAGCAATGGAAATAGTAATATTGTGTAAGTCTCTAAGCACAAGCATGTATAGAGCCTGGCAACCGATACTATGTTATCATTATCATAACAAATTACATCCCAATATGCATATATCATCAGTATTTATACAGTGCAGTAAAAGTCAGAGACCACTCTTCATTGATTTCATTTCCATTTAAAATGGCCATTAAGTAGAAGT